CGGAGCTTGCAGTGAGCTGAGATCCGGCCACTGCACTCCAGCCTGGGCGACAGAGCGAGACTCCGTCTCAAAAGAAAAAAAAAAAAAAAAAAAAAAGAACCAATATGGCTACTCTGTTTATAATAGGTAGTGGGGAGGAGAAGGGTGGGAGGTTACAGAGGATGGTGGATTGGATCAAGATGGCAGCAGTGAAAGTGTGGAGAATAGGGAAATTCAGAATATAGGCAAATATAGAGCCAATAGGATTTTCTGATACATTAGATGTGGAGTATAAATAAAAAGAGAATCAAGGATAATGCCAATGGTCTAGCTAGAGCAGTTGGAATAATTTAGTTATTTTTTAGATGGGAAAACTAAGCTTGGAGTGAATTTAGGACAAAGATAGTAAATGTAATTTTCATGAGTTACTTTAAATGTTTATTATAAATTAAAGTGAAAATATTTAAATATACAATTCTGGAGTTGAAGGGGGGAAGTCCAGGCTCGAGATACCAATTTGAGAGTCATTGGCAGATAGGTGACATTTAAAGCCATGACTATGGATGTGAACGTGAAGGCAGTAAATACAAATGTAGAAATAAGCATTCCAACCAATGTACACTGGTATGCTCCAGCAATATGTCACAAAGAATAGGAAAAACCAAAAGAGGAGACTGAGATGAAGCTTCTTAAATCCAATTGATCATTGGATTTAGCAGCACGAAGCTCACTGGGATCTGATAAGGGCAGTTTCAGGATAAAGTGAATACATGAGTAGAATGGGTTTGAGAGAGGAAGGAAAAGAATTATAGAAAATGATCATTGTAGCTTTGCATGGTGTGGATGTAAGCTAGAGGAGAGAAATGGAGAGCTAGTTGAAGGAAGGATCGTTGTGGGGATTTGAGTTAAAATATTTCTTTATTAGATGTAGCAACAATGGTACATTTGCATGTTGATGGACATGATCCAATGGAAAAAGCAAAAATGTTGATGAGAGTGAGAAAGTGGAGAGTTGGTGATTAGTTGAGAGGTGATGTGATCTATTATATAAGTGGAGAGAGTTTAGAAAATAAAAATAACACTCGGCAGGGAAAAAACAGTTAAAATTACATTTCACTTATATTCCCACTTAGAGAATGAATAATACAAAGAGAATAGGCATAATTATTAAAAGCATAGTAGTTTTATTATGAAGAGAATATTGCCATGGTATTCATCACCATTTCAAACAAGTGGGTGATCTAAAAGAAACATAATTAAGAACCAAGAATGGGCTGCCCTTGGGGAAAGAGGATCTAGGATCCAGTTGGTGCAGCTTATGGCTTGTCCCTGTGTGTACAGTTGTTAAATTATTATTTTATTTTTATTTTTAAAAAGTTATCCTTTAAATAGATAATACAGGCATGTAGCTTAAAAGGAACCTCAAAAGGCACAAAGGATTTTTTTTTTAAATGATTTTATGAAATCATTTAATGAAATGATTTTATGAAATCATTTAATGAAATGATTTTTAAATGAATCTCATTTTAAATGAAAAAAATACTGTATCAGCATTAATTAAACATCTCTTTATTTGAAAAAAAAGAAACATAATTACAGTAATACATAAAATCTTACATTATTCCTATTATTTCTTTTCACTTTGATCCATCTTTCTTTTCTCATCCTCTCCATATAATACTTTTCTTACCTTTTTAGTTTATTAGGTTTTATACTCATAAAATATTCTTCTACTCCTCAATTTCTGTACATACAATCAGCCTCCACCGTTTGACAACTTCACACACACACACACACACACACACACACACACACACATACACACATACATATTTTATTTTGTGGTAAGAGTCTCAAAATGACAATAGACTTAAAAATTTTAAAAATATTTTGCCACAGCACTTCTCAACAGAGTACAATCACAGAATCTCATTTCTTCTAGTTTAGTTGCCTATATGATGAATCATTTCAAAGTAAATCCTTTCTCCGCCTAACTACCTAACCTGGAATTATTTTTATGGATCTTTGTATTCATTTTAGAAATTAGTATTTTAAAAAAGGATGAGACGCATGTACCAAAAATTCATGTTACTTTTATTTTGCTCACCGGTGAAAAGTTTAAATTAATATGAATGCATTTTATTTCTTAGAATTGCTTTTTTAAATGCCCACTTAGGAGGATTTTGTTAAATCCCAATCTCTTCTTCTATGGGTTTTAACTCTTTTGCATTTGATTATGGTGCTAAATAGTTGAGTATACAAAATTTTGCTAAGATTCCCTGTTTTTACACTATAGAAATTTTGACATACTGATGCACATAGTTATCTTATCTTTGAACCTGAATTTCACGCATGTTGTTTTTTATTTGTTGTAGTCAGAAGCCATGCATGTGAAGTCGATCCATATGGAATGCCAGGGGGCTGTTCACACATCTGTCTACTCAGCAGCAGTTACAAAACTCGGACCTGTCGCTGCAGGACTGGCTTCAACTTGGGAAGCGATGGCAGGTCATGCAAAAGTATGTTGTTAAAATAAAACATTTTGCCAGCAGCTACCCCCCTTATAATAGGATTTTAAGTATTAATTAGCAGCATCAACATCAGTCATAACATGAGACTTCAACAGGTGAAGTTTGCCTGCAAATATATACTGTCCATTTTTCTCAAAATAAGTATTTTTCTGTTGTGATAATGTGAATTAGAAACTAACCAGGCTGTAGAGTCACTAAATTTATTGATTTTTAGGGAAACATATGTTGGGGAAGATTTTTAGGAAGATGCTTCCCTTAATTCCCTAAAGGATGTATGTGAGCTAATGAACTGGAATGATGAGTTGATAAGATTTCCTCCTATTTGAAACAATATGCTACTCCTCATAATAGGTGTGTTGCTTGTTTTGACAGAAATCCACGTATAGACAGGCTTCATTTTATCTACCATCACTGAGGAGTGAAGTCACTTCATGATTTAATTTTTCATGATTTAATTTTTCAGGTAACTGAAGCTATGCTAATTAGAGATCAAACATGTAACAATTTTATCAAAAAAATTTTAATGATTTTATCAAAAAGTTTTCTAATCTCTTAGATATATCTCTGTTTATTTTTTAAATAGGCCAGAATAATTTATTTTAATTTAAATATGGTAATAAGGATTTTAAAAATTACTCTCGCAACTTAATATTTTGCACAATAATTAGTTAAGGTCTTTTCCTGGGGTCTTGATATTCAGGTATAGTAGAATGGTCCTGATTGAAATGATCCTACTGGGGACTGTTGGTCTTTAAATGTTCCCCAGACCCCATTATTTTTAATTTTATGATGACTGCTTTTTACAGTGTCTAGTTTGTCTGTACCTTTGTCATAGTGACAGCTTTTTATTTCTGTCAGTCCTCTCTCTCTGGTCACAATCCTGTCATCTCTTCCACTCTCTGGTCATGTGCTTACTGAGGACTGTGAAATTAGATCTCTAAATGTGTTAGAATTTTAAGTCTAAATGGTTAGAGCTACTAATAGAATATATAGTTTAAAATGAAGAATCAAAGAGGCTAAACTATGTTAATATGTATGTATTTTTGTACTTTGTTTACATTTTTTATTTGTATTCCTGATTTTGTGTTAAATACTGGAAGTGTGAAGGTAACAGGTCTCGTGTTCCTAGGCCTTCTGGATAATTGAGGGCACTGAGTTTGAAGCCTCACGATAAAAGAAGTTTTGTGCGTGGGTGCATGTGTGTATATGTAGTGTGTGATTTTAAAATTGATCTGTATGCCACTTGGGAGATATAATCACACACACACACACACACACACACACACACACATATATATACACACAAGCATATGTGCATACATACATACACACATTGGAGGAAAAATGTAAGATCAGAATTGCATATTATTCAATCATCTCTAATGTAGTGTATCACCTGGAGTACATTAATACTCATCAGAAATAATTCCAGCTATTTGGAGCAACAAGAGATTTAATGCAAATAGGTGCCTACAAAATCATTTAAAAACCTGGACCAGTAGCTTCTAGACTACTGGGTCTTTGGAACATCCCCCCCAAACATTCCAGCTGAAAGCTGGAACATCTACCATACTCAGAAGCTAGAGCATCAGGAAGTCATAAATGAAAATGTTAACTTTAAAAACATACCATTTAGCTGAGATCCAGGGATTAGAAAGCTGGCACCAAAACTATCAGATGCAGAGTTAAGTCACATCTGATAGCCCCTAATGGGAAAAAAATAAAAAAGAGGAGGAAAGGAGAAACACCCTGTTCCTCACATCTTGATACGGAATGGAAGAAGCCTGCTGTGGAAAAATTCAATGTCTCCATCAGAGGCGGCAAAAAGGGGACCTTTGCCTCACTTTCATGTTCTAAACTTGAGCTAGCATATCTCATTTTAGGTAGTCAAATAAAATCTACTACCTTTGGCTATATGAGTGTCTGTTAAATGTATTTTTTAGTATTCAATTGTCTATAGTACAAGAAGACACACTAGAAGAAACTTAAGTAGGTATTAAAGAATACCTAGGAAATGACCAATGAAAATAATGGGGAAAATCATTACTATTCTTATTTAAAACATACATACCTATATACACACACAAACAATCACACATAGTACATTAATGAAGTTCTAGGTTTACCAATTACCAATTAAGACATCCATTAGAAGTAAAACCAAGAGCGAGTGTTGTGGCAGAGGCCTGTGATTTCAGCACTTTGGGAGGCTGAGGCAGGTGCATCACTTGAGCGCAGGATTTCAATAACAGCCTGGGCAACATTGCAAAACCTAGTCTCTAAAAAGCTATAAACGTTAGACAGGCATGGTGGCACACTCCTGTAGTCCCAACTACTTCAGAGGCTGAAGTAGGAGGATAGCTTAAGCCCAGGAGGCAGAGGTTGCAATGAGCTGAGATTTTAGCAAAATGGGTGCTATAAAACCAGGATTCCTATGTATTGCTAATATAATTAGAAATTGATATCACAATTGGTAAGACATTTGCTAATAAGTATAATGATCATAAAACTGACAACATAATTAAACAAGTTATAATTCTTTACTTTTGATTAAGGAAATTAAATGTATTTATAATAACAGCAACTCAGAAACAATATAGCTGTCCAACAACAGGTAAGCAGCTGACTATATTATGTTACTTCTCTAGTAAGGAATCTTATGCTGCCATTGAAAGAAATGTTTTTGAAGACTTTTTAATGGCTTGACAAAAAGTCATTACAGTGAAAAGAATTTATATACAATATCCCAATTTTTGAAAAATATAGAAGTATATATGTATCTAATGTGGATAGAAAATACTTTAAAATGTTAATGATTTTCAAATGTATCAATATACTTTAAAATAACATAAAGTATTATTTTAAAAGAAAATGCCCTTGACATCAGGTAGACACTGCAAGGCTATGAGGGCAATGAAGACAAGGATGTTAATGTACTTTGCTCCGTAATTTCATCTAAGAAAATGTGTGAAATGCTAAATTGAAAAAAAAAATGCTTATATCATGATTATAATGATGAAAACAGAAAACTATTTGGAAAATTAGTTGGTAAATTATTATATGTCAAACAGAAACAAGGCTTGGCTTAAGATAATGGTTCAATATAGATAATAATCTTGATTCTAAAATTAATAAGAGCAGAATATAAAATTGAGTGTCTACTTTGATATAAGTAAATATACATTTAAAAAGTACCTACATACATTAAATATGAAATAGTCATACAAAGGAATGTTATACAGCAGTGAAAATGAGTAAACTCTGATTACAAGAAGAATGGATGAATATCAAGAGTGTAATAAAAAATAAGTTTAATCACAAGATTCACACATGCAATTCAAACATGCAGAATTAAACAATCTGCTGCTGGGAAATACACCACGTATGTGTTAAAACTCTTTTAAAAATACATAATAAACACAACAATCAGGATATCGACTCTTTCTGAGTTGGAGGAGAGTGAGTTTGGGCACATTTATGTCTTCCAGTGTACTGGAAATATTTTTCACGTTTGTGCTAGGTACCTGGAATTTGTTTTATTTTTATTATTTATATATTAAAATATGTTATCAGTTCCTGTACTAGTTTGCTGAGAATGATGGCTTCCAGCTTCATCCATATCCCTGCAAAGGACATGATCTCATTCTTTTTTTATGGCTGCATAGTATTCCATGGTGTGTATGTGCCACATTTTCTTTATCCAGTCTCTCATTCATGGGCATTTGTGTTGGTTCCAGGTCTTTGCTATTTAAATAGTGCTACAGTAAATATACATGTGCATGTATCTTTATAGTACAATGATTTATAATCCTTTGGGTATATACCCAGTTATGGGATTGCTGAGTAAAACGGTATTTCTGATTCTATATGCTTGAGGAATCGCCACACTGTGGCGATTCAGAAAGGTTGAACTATTTTCAGAATGGTTGAACTAATTTACATTCCCACCAACAGTGTAAAAGCTTTTCTATTTCTCCACAACCTTGCCAGCAACTGTTGTTTCCTGACTTTAATCATTGCCATTTTGACTGGTGTGAAATGGTATCCCATTGTGGTTTTGATTTGCATTTCTCTAGTGACCAGTGATGTTGAGCTTTTATTCGTGTTTGTTGGCCATATAAATGTCTTCTTTTGAGAAGTGTCTGTTCATATCCCTTGCCTACTTTTTGATTTTTTGTTTCTTGTGAATGTGTTTAAGTTCCTTGTAGATTCTCATTATTAGTCCTTTGTCAAATGGGTAGATTGCAAAACTTTTCTCCCATTCTGTAGGTTGCCCCTTCACTCTGATGCTAGTAACTTTTGCTGTGCAGAAGCTCTTTGGTTAAGTTAGATCCCATTTGTCAACTTTGGCTTTTGTTGCAATTCCTGTTGGTGTTTTAGTCATGAAGTCGTTGCCCATGCCTATGTCATGAATGGTATTCCCTAGTTTTTCTTCTAGGATTTTTATGGTTTTGGTTTACATTTAAGTCTTTAATCCATCTTGAGTTAATTTTTGTATAAGGTGTAAGGTGTAACCAAACCCTGCACGTTCTCACTTATAAGTGGGAGTTGAACAACGAGAACGCATAGACACAGGGAGGGGAACAACACACAACGGGGCCTGTCAGGGATGAGGGGCAAGGGGAGGGAGAGCATTAGGACAAATGCCAGTTGCATGTGGGACTTAAAACCTAGATGACCAGTTGATGGGTGCAGCAAACCACCATGGAACATGGATACTATCTATGTAACAAACCCGCATACTCTGCACATGTATCCCAGAATTTTAAGTAAATTTTTTTTTAAAATTATCGACATTCTTTTATATATATTTAATATTCAATTACGCTAATTTAAAAAACACAAGAAAATAAATGTAAATGTTAATATATGTTGTATTTTTAGGTGTATAAATAATTGCTTATTTTTATTATTTTCCAAATTTTAATATTATTTTACCTTATTATGAATATTAATTATTGTGTGGTTATTCAAATACAGCTGAGTCTTTTGTATCTTCAGTTTTATTAATAAACCTCAGTATGATTTTCCTTTTATATAAAAATTATTTCCTGTAAAATTATATACAGTAAACCAAGGATAAGATGCCCCGGTAATTGGAGAATCTTGTGTATATTTTTATATAGAAGTCCAAAACAGGGAATTCACTCTATAGAAAGAGCTACTTTGATGCTGACATTTTAAACTCAGGGACAGTTTTTGGTTGGGGTTTTCATTTTTCTTTTGTTTTTGATAAGGCCTGTGTTGTTCATCAGAGTTACTGTCAGACAGCATCAGCCTCTAACATTCTAATTAAAATTTGAAGAAAAAGGGATGCTATAACTGGTATTTAATTTCATTTCTAAAAGAATAAGTCACATGTTCGGGCAACTGTAATATATTCACAAGCAAGTTAGTGATACTATATGATTCTTTGTTTGCCTCTGACAATTCGTAGATGCAAACTTGGGGTTGGCGTGTCTTAAATTTTCTAAAGATTTTAGCATTGTCAAATATAATGAATGGTACAGTTAGTATCGACAGAAAATGCTAGATAGATTGTAATGCATTATAAAATTAAATGTGCCGGATGTTTTAATAAATGCCTATTTTACAAGTTACAAGTTATCTAATGATCTGTCATGTTTTTGCTATCCAGACAGTTACAGACAAAACGATAATTAACTACCTATAACCCATTCGCAGAAGTAATTTCTGTTTTAATTAAAGTAATGCAATTAGCTGGCCTTCTTGCATCAAAACTACAAGATACATTTGGCATATTTTAGAGTTTAATTTTTAGCATTGAATTTAAAAAAACGCTAATTGTGCCAGTTAATTAAACAGTGGCATTATACAGTGTAAAGAAGATTAAGCAGCATCAGTTGTTTATATTTGTAATCTTTCCTTTGCAGGACCAAAGAATGAGTTGTTCCTCTTTTATGGGAAAGGACGCCCAGGAATTGTTAGAGGAATGGACTTGAATACCAAGATAGCTGATGAATACATGATCCCCATAGAAAATCTGGTAAACCCTCGTGCTTTAGACTTTCATGCAGAAACCAATTACATCTACTTTGCTGACACCACCAGTTTCCTAATTGGCCGGCAGAAGATAGATGGCACAGAACGAGAAACCATCCTGAAAGATGGTAAGTGACACTGTGACATTAACATCAAACTACTCAGAGATAAAGCACTTTAAAAGGATAAATCCAGTGTGTGTCAGACTGGTTTTAACCAGAACTCAAGTTCTTCTGGTTGGTTCAAAAATATTTTTTAATGTTATGTATTCAGTAACATTGTTTCTCTGTTTTCATATGCCAGTGTATTAAAACCTTCATTATAAAATGGCACTTGCTGTCATCTCCTATACTCTAAATATTATCAGGATTAAAATTGAACTATTATCCATCTTCTGGAAAATGTCAGTTTGCACTGATATGTTTACAGTGCTGTATGGTAGAACGCAAAATTTAATAGGATTTCAGAGACTTTCATAACAGTTGGTTTTCATTAGACTATTGATCATGTCACTCAAAATGCATGAAAAATATCAATGTCCACATTGTCCTCACAATTCTTGAATTTTATTTTTTACTTTACACATCACTGAAATGAAGTTTTCTAGAGTTGCCCTTGGAATATCAGTATCTCCAGAGAAACTTAATACATTTATACCTATTTTTATTTATAGGTACATATATAAAGTTATATACATGCAAACAGATATATGTACATTTTAATAAAATCAATGTATTTTATAAATTATTTGGCTTAGGAACAAGTAATCTAGTAACAAAACAATGTTAACTTTGGTATCAGTAGAAAATATTGCAAATAATAAATCAAACCATATCTTCACTGGCTGCCAGTCATTTTTAGGCATGTTAACAAATGATTCTGGACCTGTTTCCTCATATATAAAGTCTGCTTACTTCTTGAATATTTTAGAAATACATGATTTGAGGAACATTAATTGTGTGCTTATTTTATGAAGGACATCATGGTAGCTATATCTCAGGAGATAAAAGGAATTTTAGGGAATGACTTCTGCCTTCAAGGGGTTTGTAGTCTACCTTTAGAGACGATACAAGCACACAAAAAGTTTAAAGGCATTGCAGCATTTAATTAATAAGTTTGAAGCTGTCTTAAAGATATATATGATCAATAGAGAATACTTGTGTAATGGGTATTCACAGGAAGCAAGAGATATCTTTATGTGGGTATACTCAGAGAACTCCTTGGGCAGGCTATGGTATTTGGGCTAAATCTTAATGGAGAAATGTTAGAGAGAGGAGACGTTTCTGCAACCAGAAATCCCATGAGAAAAAAAGAAAAGCACAATCTCTAGAAAGAGGATGTGGAGGACCTAAATGGAAAGCTACTGGAGGTTTCCTTTGCAGGTAATAATGTCAGAAGAGAGTGGAAAGTGAAAGGCGCTAAAATAAAGGGCCTGGAATGTAAGTGAAGGAGTTTGGAAAAAATCCCAAAGGAATAAAAGGAAATGCTTTCGAGTCAAAGAATAATGTGAACAAAGTGATATTTTAGGAGGGTCAATCTGGTTGTTGGGTGCAGAATGAATCAGAACTTGATTGAGATGAGAAAATGTGAGAAAATAAAAGCAGAGAGATAGACTAAAATTATTTACAGCGTGGATGGTAGTAAGTGGAGGTCTCTCCAATCTTTTAGAGGAAATGAGAGCATGAGAATATTCTTCATTCAACACAACTTTACTTTAAATCAAACCTGATAAAAAGTATACTTTCTATCTAAAATAAAAACATCCCTGTCTTTGTCTTTCTTGTAATTTACTGATTAAGGCAATGTAAATCCTCCATAATTTAAAAGTCTGAAGGAGTATCTAAATAAAGTTAAGATTTTCACTTTAAATTAGATGTGACAGAGGCTGTCTTCCTACTTTTCTCTTAATGTGATAGCAGATGATAGGGACTTGACAGTTTTAGATGGACAATGAAATTGCACATTCTGTCTATGTAAATAACATTTACATTGTTTTGTTTTTGACTCAGACACTTTCATTTATTATTATGATTATTATTATTTTTTGATAGAGTCTCACTCTGTCACCGAGGCTGGAGCGCAGTGGTGCAATCTCGACTCACTGCAACCTCTGCCTCCGAAGTTTAAGTGATTCTCCTGCCTCAGCCTCCTGAGTAGCTGGGATTGCAGGTGTGCACCACCACGCCCAACTTGTTTTTGTATTTTTACTAGAGATGGGGTTTCACCATGTTGTCCAGGTTGGACTGAAACCCCCGACCTCAGGGGATCTGCCTGCCTCAGCCTCCCAAAGAGCTGGGATTACAGGCATGAGTCACCATGCCCGGCCGACACGCACACTTTCAAGAAGGACTAAAATATGTAACAGAGAGAGTTCTTGGTTTCCTTTTAAATTGTGTCAGTTCCTGTACTATGACTTGATGTTCCTGCTAATAATCCTAACTTTGAGAACAATATCAAGGACATTGGTGGTTCTTTGCATTCCACCCATCACAACAGAGATCAACTCTAATAGCCACATTGACCGCAAGGCACATCTGTCCAGCACTGCTTTGACAGTATGAAGGTTATGAGAACATTTTGCAAATTTTCACACCTGAAATATATTTAACATTTTTGTCTTTCTACAGAAGGAACAGCTTAATATCTTTTTATTAGTTTATCTTTTTTCTTTCCATTAAAGAGAATAATGATATACATTACAATATGAGATTAACATGTCAAAGCAGAGACTTAGATTTGGCAAATGAAAACTTGTCATTCTTGGCATCAGAAAAATTAAACTATATGTGTATTCACTTACTTAGAGTGTCTACCATTGAACCTGAAGACTGCGAAGCAATGCTTAGTTTGACAAATGATTTAGAAGTTTGATAGAAATTCTGAGACGTTGATAAATTTATATAGTTTGAAGTACAAGGATATAAAGAGTTTGCTGTTTGTAAATATAAATATCTTGGACATCTTTTATGTAAACTCTGATTCTCCCTCTGAAGAAATAAAACCAACAGCATTTCCAAAAAAATCCACCTTTATTCATTCTTTGATTTTTTTTCTCTCCTAGAGGTTTATTGAAAAGTCCCTAAATGTTGCATATACTGTTGGCTTTGTTTGAGGAATCTCGTGGGTGAAGACAGCAGTTAAATAAATGAGAAAGGAAATTGTCCATTTGTTATATTTACATGTATCTCATTTCATTTGCTAAATGAAAATATATTACTGATTTATTAAAGATAAACTTCCATAAGGACAAGATATTTACTATGTGTATTTTTTCACGTACCTAGAAGTTTTTGTCAAAATTTTTGTGAAATTCATACTCTTCCTTTTTAAAAACTTAATTACTTGATTTATTATTTTTCAGTCAATAAAAAGTGAATGCCGTATCGGGGCCAGGTGCTGTTCTAGGTGATTGGAATGCTTCAGTAAAGAGGATAAAGCTTCATATTTAGCTTATATCCAACAGCGGAAAGGAAATAATAAGCAAGTAAACATATAAATGAATAAGATAATGATAAGTGCTATACAGAAACTAAAGTAGGATACTGTGCTAGAAAATAAAAGGAGTATCAACAGGAGGCAAAATTAGATTAAATGATTAGAGAATTTAGCCATTCTTGCCAGGTATAATTGTTACTTTCTCTAACAGAAAAAGATAGATGCCCTTTCTAAGACTGAATGCATTTTTATCTTCTTGGGTATCTTTTCCAAGATTTATTTTTCATTGTAATATGAATTATAATTTTAGCACAAAGGAAAAAATATAAAAATGATAATTTACTATTCAATTTATTGTTACATGTATTCCACTAGTTCAGTACTTGTTTTTATACTGTATACCTTAATTCTACTCAAACACAGATATTTAAATAGAAGAAATGTTAAAATAACCTTTCATATCATTTCATATTTTTAAAGTACTTAAAAGAATTCAAAGCATTTTTACCTGGATTTGGAAGTTATTAATGCTTGCAGCTTTAACAGAAAAACTATAGTTTCAATAGATCCCATAATTAAACTGGGGACTTGAGGTCACTGTTTTACATAACACAGAGCCTTTTTTTACCAAGCTTTTTTTCAAAATAGACAAACAGGGATAATGTGGGTTGAAAAGGGTGATAATTTTGCTGCTTCTTTTGTTGTGGCATTGATGAACTAAGATTCAATTCATCTACTTCAAGTCATAAGTCATACTGCAAGTAAAACAATGCAAACATAAGATTTCTATGTACAGTTCTTCCCAACTGTTATTCTTTTCTTTTCTTTTCTTTTCTTTTTTTTTTTTTTTTTTAAACAGAGTCTTACTCTGCCCAGGTTGGAGCACAGTGGTGTGATCACGACTCACTGCAAACTCCTCCTCCTGCACACAAGTGATCTTCCCTCCTCAGCCTCTCGAGTGGCTAGGATCACAGGTGTGTGCCACCATGCTCAGCAAATTTTTTTTTTTTTTTTTTTGTAGTGACAGCCTTTTACCATGTTGCCCCAGCTGGTTGCAAACTCCTGGGCTCAAGTGATCCACCTGCCTCAGCCTCACAAAATGCTGTGACTATAGTCCCCAACAGTGATTTTTATAATTTTACATAAAGTATGGGCCCAAGAGTACAAAATTAGACCTCTTTTATAATTAGATGCAAGTTTGGCAAAACATTTTGTCCTCTAGATGTGTCTTTTTAGTTTTAGACTATACCACCTTATTTTGTGATAATAAAATCAATGACAGCAATAATAGTGAACATTTAATGAGTACTTACTGTGTATCAGTATTGCTCACCTTATGTTCATTGTCCCGTACAATCCACTCAACAACTCCCTGAGGTCAGCATTATTATTAGCTCCATTTTATAGATTGGAAATTGAAACTCAGACAGGCGAAGTCATTTCTTAAAGTCACATAGCTAGTAGGTGATACCACTTGTCAAGAACTGTGAAAGTGCTGAGATTTTATTATGTTTGCAAGCTGAAACATTAGCCTGCTACACTTTCTTGGATGCTGGCAGAAGACATGAAACTTCTGAGACAAAATACAGTTTGTTATTAAGATCAATAACAATAGCCAGAGTATCCGTAATTTTGTTTCAGGATCCTGATCTTTATTACCAACAGGGTAACCCAAAGGTGACACCTGCACATA